CAGATACTCCGCGTACTAAAGTTGTACTACAAAGTCGCCAGTTCTCAGCTTCCAGCTCCACAGATTACTCCGCGTACTAAAGTTGTACTACAAAGTCGCCAGTGCCTGCATTTCGCGCACTCGACACGCACGATCTCCGCAGAGGGTTGCGCGCACACCGGACAAGTCGCACTCTCACCTGCATTTCGCGCACTCGACACGCAGGATCTCCGCAGAGGGTTGCGCGGGCACCCGGCGAATCGCACTCTCGCCTGCATTTCGCGCACTCGACACGCAGGATCTCCGCAGAGGGTTGCGCGCACACCGGACAAATCGCACTCTCGCCTGCATTTCGCGCACTCGACACGCACGATCTCCGCAGAGGGTTGCGCGCACACCGGACAAATCGCACTCTCACCTGCATTTCGCGCACTCGACACGCCCGATCTCCGCAGAGGGTTGCGCGCGGACCGGACAAATCGCACTCTCGCCTGCATTTCGCGCACTCGACACGCACGATCTCCGCAGAGGGTTGCGCGCACACCCGGCAAATCGCACTCTCGCCTGCATTTCGCGCACTCGACACGCACGATCTCCGCAGAGGGTTGCACTTTCGGTTGACGCTGTTCGTCCCGCACTCCGCCTTTAAGAGAGAATTTATAAAGTGGGGAAATGTTTTTTCATTAGGACATCTCCCGTCCATACTCACACTTGCCTACTCATTGCATGCTTGCATAGTCATTGCATGCTTGCATACTCACCCTTGCATATCATGCTTGCATACTTACACTTGCATACTTTGACACTGGCATACTTCGCACTTGGATGCTTTCGCTCTTCCAGTGTGTGTGTGTGTAAGTGTGAGTGTCGAAGTGTAAGTGTCGAAGTGTCAGTGTTCAAAGGATTTTCCGGAAGAACCCTTCGCAATGCTTTCGGGAAAAACATAAAGAAAGAAAGACAGACAGAGAGAGAGAGAGAGAAAGGGCGAGACTGGGTGCCCGACGGTAGGCCCGTAGGCCAAGTCTGCGTTTCCACATTTCCATCTCTTGCGGATCAACCTTTACATTCTGGTTGTATTGTCCTAATGGCACCGAGGAAACTTGGCCTTCTGAAGTGAGGCTGATGCTTGAACCGGAAGAGAGTGGCCATAGTAGCTTAATGCATTCACGACCTTGTGCACTGTCCAGAGTGTCTCGATTTCAACACATCTAGATCTTTCTTCATTCAGAGCAGTTTGCCCTTCTCCAAACCAACTTGCTTTTGATGGTTGTTTTGGTGTTTCTTTGAAGAGTTTTGGGTTGCATCTTTCTCCTGCAGGTGTGTGGCTCCGTCTTAGCTGGCATCGCGGCGTCGAGAAGTGCTACAGAGGTGGGTCAGGGCGTCTCACCGAGGGGTGTGAGAGGAGATGTTGGCCTAGTGTATTGGCACCCAGTGGAAGATGGAGAGGGCCCCCAGTAGAGCATGGCATGGCTGGTGTTCAGGAGGGGAAGAGGCTGTCGGCTGAGTGTAATGTAGCCAGAAGAGTTGACTTCAAAAGGCTTCGGTTGATGGTCCTTCCAGTCTTAGATCCTGGCTGTCTATCGGAGTGGCGAAGGAGGTGATCTTGGTGTTTTGGCACATGGCTGGAGAGAGGCCCCCGGAGGTTCCGAATCTGATGACATCTGATGACATAGATAAGAAACCTTGATTCAAAAGGGTTCTTCATTTGCAGCCTGACCACAATGGATCATTTCATCACAGCGAGGCCGTGGACTCCTTGCCGGAGCTTTTTACGGCAGCTGCTCAAGTTTTCTCGCAAGAGTGCGAGAGAGACGTTTCCGCAATAGGTGTGAAAAAAGCGTTGGGTACAACATGCGTGTACATATGTAGGCTCATACAGAACTTTAACGCTAAGGGCCTTAAGGGGTGACATGGATTGCGAGAAGTCGTGCGAGCCACCTGGCAAGCCTGTCAACTTCTGGCCTATTCTCTCATGAATGTTGTGAAACGAGGGAACCATAGGGAACCTCTCATAAAACTGGTGTGTCCTCTTTGTTTGGGATCTTCGATGTCGCATCATCGCATCACAACGGTTCATGCGAATTGACTCTAGATATGAAGATGGCAGACTGCAGACGGCTTTCGATGGTTTACGGGCCTTGTTGTCTCTGATTTTCTGGATGCGCATCTGCAAATTTCTGCCACAAGACGCCGTGTATGGCGCTATTTCAGCTTGGATACATTTGGCTTGGTGTGGCAGGCAGGCTTCGTCCGCCTCCACATTGCACTGGCCATTTTTGGGACTTCGATTGAAGCCCTGCCCACGCGGTGAGCCCCCAGCCCAGTCCTCAAGGTGGCTGCTTTGGCTGCCCCTTGGCTTTACAAGTCGAAAGCGCTTGTCATGACATATCTTGGTGCGATGTCACTCGCCATCACACGAAAGCCGTTGTGTATACCAAGCGACTGCAGTCGAATGACTGAATGACAAGCATGCGATGCACGGGCGCATTCCTCAAGCACTTGCCGCGACTAGCCGCTGCTTTGTGCGGAACATTGCAACGGTTTTGCCACTGTTCTCCGGCCACGTCTTGGGTGAGTGAAGGAATGTCGTTCAGATCTGCCTATGCAATGTCACATATCGGCCTTTGTCGGACCACAATGGCAACACTTAAGAGTCTAAGCACCACAAACCGCAGTTTGGCACCGAAAGATGGAGTTGACAAACCTGTTGAGCTTGGCCTAACACGACGAGCTGGAATGTGTAAATTCGCTGGTTGGAATGCCTCATTCGAAGGGCTCTTGCTTGAACGTCGTGCCAAGTCTCAGAATGTGTCTCTCAGCCCTCACAGCATTCACTAGTTTTCCAGGTTTTCATTCTTTTTTTTGGCCTTGGTTGTGCTTGTTCGCTTTTTCAAGACAATATCTGCAAGGGCATGTGGTGATTTCAGCTGAGGTGGAGGTTCTCAAGGGAATCATGTGCGCTTCCAAGGGAGATATTTTGTGGTAGGTCCTAGGTGACCTATGCACTCCGCAGCTGGATGACCTGATCTCTTCCTTTCCCCCTGCCTGCTTAGGCTGCCTCTCCCTCTCTCCTCCTTGCCCCCCCACCTCTCTAGCAGAAGAGGCAGTTCATGGCAGTTCCCTGATGTACCAGCTCCTTGACCTTGACATTTAGCGTGGAAGCCTCCTTTCAATCAAAAGTGCTGCACGGGTACAAAAGTGCCAAGACTTACCATTCTCCGTGCCAACCACGAGCTTACTGAAAGTAAGAACCTTGCCTGAATACCTCGTACATGCAGCTGTCGCCGCCTACGCAACCAGCCATGACCGTGCAGCTGACCACAACACTTAAACCCAACCCCCATGCCAGCCCGAACCCTTCCGGGAACTAGCCAGCCCCAGTGACCTACCACCTCTTCTTAAGGGCCCGGGCCCGGCCCGGGGCCCTGTGGCCTGGACTTTGCCCGGTTTCTGCATAATATTTTCTTTCTCCATGCTGGACGCTGTTCTTGGTCATGTTTCACCAGCAGACTCACCAGAACCCTCCTGCAGAAAAACAGGTGTGGAGAAAAGAACAAGCGAGGTAGTGGGTCGCTGCTCATCCAAGATCGTTTCACACAGACACGCATTCAAAGGTTCAAAGCCGGAGGAGGAAAGCCCATGCCTGCTTCCCAAACGTTAAAGCATGTCATTCGGAACCAACGGCTCCATGCTTATGACGTGTTCCTTTAGTGCTTTGTTAGCGCCGGCAGCGATTGAGGATAAGGATATGGACCTTTGTCAACCGGATCTGGGGGTGACAACTTCATTATGTCATAAAGGGAGTCCAGAAGTTGACGGTCAGTAAAAACTGCCAATTCAAGAACGATTGCCTCCATATCACCGCTGTCGCCAGTTGCATCATAAAAGGATGTGATTGAAATCAGAGCAGCTGGCTCCAAACTCTTAGCAGCCGAAGAACATGAGCTTGAACCCGTTCCCAGGCAACCGCTACTCCTTGCATCATTTGCTGCCCCTGGATGAGTGTTCCAGCGCCATCTAGAAACTGTCTGAGTTAGGGATGCCAAAACCAAAAGAGCCCCCTCGACACAGGGTCATGCCAACCGTGACCTCCATTGCTCCGCCCGGGTTCTGATGCCAGCACGTCACTGATAGCGCCATTCCCCTTCGACACCTTCCATGAGACTTGGTTCAGGATCTTCAGTGCTCTGCCAAGTTTTTTTGTACTTGTGTTTTGTTGGTGTGCATTTTTGTGTGACCAACGGGAAAAGACTCGCGAAGGATGGTGGTTTGGTGTGGCGAAGGCGAAGGGTTGTGCAGTGGCATGAGTGCTGGGCGTCACGTGCCCCACATTTTCCCTGGTGGCTGTTGCAAAGCACTCAGCGAAACGGAAACGCAACAAACAAAGACATTATATTCACATCAATGTGGGGCCGCTTTGTTGTGCATTTCGTGGCGGGGTGTTCGCACAGAACACGTGTGTTACTACCACTCGGTCCAAGATGCAAAACTGTTTCCAACAATGCCTTCGTTAACAACAGGCCGCACTCGAGAACTTCTGTGCCTTTCAAATCACAACTCCCGGGGCCTTGGCCGTTTTGGCATGAAATTGGTGTTGCGTGCTTTGCTAGTTATCATGGGAGTTGGCTGCCGTTATGGTTCGAATGAATGGAGCCAGCAGGGGCTGCGATCCCCAGGGGTGCTCGCTTCCTTCACTTCAGGTGCAGATGGCAGTGGGCATGGACAGTGTTGGTGAGATCATGGTTTGACGGCAGGGTCTGTTGCCTGCTTGAATCTCCAGTATCCATTTATGATAGAATCGGATGGCATCCTTCAGTTAAGGCAGTGCAATGATTGTGAGCCAAACGATTGCTATTGTAGAGGCCGATGTGGTAGAAGCAATGCAGCTGGCAGGTGCATTTCTTCTGTGGCTTTTAAGTAGGGTGAATGGCTTGGAACCAATGAGCGAACTTCCATCCACAATCAGAGTCCACGTCGGGTGGTAGGGTTTGGGCAAATTGCACTTGCTGCGCTTGTGCACAGTGGCGCAGTGAGCGGAATTGCTGCCAAGTCCTGGCTTCAAGCTAGGGTTTCACAGTTTTGCTTGATCCAGCGGCTCAACCGTCAAACAGAGACAAAACATTATTCTATGTCCGAAGGTGCGGAACCTAAGGTGTTTGCAGAGGTTGAACATGTGATGCCTTCTCCGTAGCCCACTCCCTCAGCACCACCCGAGTTTTGCCCAGTCTTGAGCTGATGGCTTTTGCCACATTTAGTCCCAGCTCCGCTTGAGCAATGTCCTTGCGGCTGCTCAAGAAGCAAGTCGAGGGCAGTTCAGGTGTGCGAGTAGCTGAGCCCTGCAACCATGCTAGAAGTTTTGTCCATCTTCCGTTCACTGAACTTGGAGAAGACTTGCTCGCGAACTGCCAAAGTTGCATGATGTTCCATGACCAAGTGGTAGCAACTAGGGACGGCAGGCCCAGCGCCAAGTTCTGCCACATCTGGCTGGGGCGCAAGGCGGCCAGCCAACTGGAAGGCGCCGACTGGTGGAGGTGGCGGCGTCTACCAGGTGGGATGTTTTAGTGGTCGCTACTGTACAAGGTCCTTCACCGTGATATAGGCATATGTATACATGCATTGCATATGTTTCTTTGTGTAAAGGCTACATATACAGATTGTATAGGCATATGTTCACACATATGTTTGTCTACTTGCACACGTTTGGCGACTCCACCTGAACTGAAACTTTAACAAGTCGGATCAGTTCCTACAAGACAGACCAGAAGATGCAGTTATAAGATGCATACTATTCCAACATCATATCCATAGTACGTAGCCCGCATCTCCTTGCTACAACATGTTTGTAAAACCCTCCAAGCTCTCCCGAATGCCAGCACCCATCAGGGCAAAGGCAAAGGCAAAGGAAGAGGTAGGGGAACCGGAGCTTTCCTCGAAAGCGTTGGGGAGGTGCGAAGCTCGGGTGATGTTGTGTCGGGATGTGGTGTGGAGAGCCGGCTGGCTTGGGCGTGTCAAATTTCGTTGTGTTTTTTTATTGTCTTTGAGTAGCTTCTTGTTACTAGTAGGAAATTAGCTAGTAGCGATGGCCTCTAACCTAATAGCGATGGCCTCCACCTAGTTACAGTAGTAGCTTCTTGCCTGGCTATTGAAAAGCGTTTCAATGCCACATGGTGTGGTTTCCAACGGTACAGCACCAGGCGCCTGCCGAAGATGTTGATGATGATTGGGCTGCTCCTAATGCCGAGGATTGGGGTGAGGCGCCTACGGCCTTGCCCACCGACGAGGAGGCGAGGGAAGAGCACCCTTGAGGTCACGTTTTCTGCAAATAGTGGCATAGAGCATATGCAGCATATGTATACATGCTCAGGCCTGTGCCCAAGTTGAGAGACACCTGACAAGTGGAACTTTTAGATGTCCCCTCCAGCCCAAATTTGTTTGTTCTGCAGGCTTTGGGGCCTCCACCGGGTCTGGAAGCGGTGCTACAAAATGCACACCTCCAGCATCACCTGCAGGCTGCTCAGGACGAATCCCCTGTTCGTTGCAATTATGCAACTCACATCTAGGTTGCTCATTTGCAACTTAGCGATGCTCTTTGTTACTAGTAGCTTCTTTCTCCTAGTAGTAAGGCCAGGAGCTACTAGTAGCGTCCTTGCTCCTAGTAGCGATGCCGTCGCTGGAACGTGCGAAATCACATCTTGACCGTCGTTCAGTCGGTTGCTTTGTGAGGACTGGTGCAAGACAGAAGGTCATAGTACACTAGACGAAGTCCTTGACTTCTTCGATGACTTTGCAGAAGCGCTGGGGTGGCTTGGCAAGTACGTAGATCCTGCAAGAAGATGTCAAGAAGATGTGAACACAGCTTCTTACCCCACTTGCCTTTCAACACCGTGTGATCATATATGGATGGTTTCAGTGCAAAGTCATCCCTCCAAGCACTGTGACGCAGGTTTGATCCCGCAGTTGATCATTGCAACTGTCGGCGCACTGGCAAAGGTAGAGCAAACAGTCCCAGCCCGCATCCAAGCTCGCGCGATTTGCCATCCAAGGCTGAAAATTTTGGAGAAGAGGCGAGACTGGGACAGATGGGCAGGGACTGGGCCCAGGCATTTTCTCAGGTTTTTGAGATCTTCATCAATGCCTTCCCTTGAGCCACACGACATGAGCCTCCGTCGACGCCAAAAAGCCAAACGGGTGAAGGTCACTTGTTTCTCACCGCCGCCCGTCACATTTCGCAAGTGCAGCTAGAAGCCATCGCTACTAGTAACAAGAAGCTACTAGGAGCAAGAAGCTACTAGG